ACCCATTTTACTGGGAAAGAGGCATGCCATCTTAGTCCTCACGCATCTGCATTTTGATTCTTTATTGGTGATAGATGTAGGTGTCTATGGCTCACAACAACCACTTACCATCAGATCGACTGTGTGCTCGTTTGTCACCATATACTATAAAAAAAAATCTCCTGTTTCGATTTCTCTATATCGCCACTTACGAAATCCACGTGACAATATTAGCTACTCGTTGTTAATGATTACTTATTTAAATTTTATTTTGTGCAAGCGACCCACCCCGGCTTCTCCTGGATAGGATCTAGTAATGTAATGTTTTTTTTAAGATAATCAAACATTTACTTTATAAATTTAGAATTTATTGTTTTTTAAAAAATCATCAATTTTTTTTTCGGTTAAAATATAGCCTAGATCCCTCCAGCCGGGCTAGCATGGGCAGGAGACAATTTTATCCCTGGGGAAAGGATAAAATGTTTATCCCTCGCTTAGTATTATCCACCCTTCGAGCATGGACACACCGGTGGATATAATATACACAGTAGATAAAATGGGAGTTAGACTTAGAGAGATTTTTGTATCAATATAAACTATTACTCACGTCCAATAAACTAGGATATAGTTGTCCATTTCAAATTTCAAAAGAGCATAATTTTTTATGTTTAATTTGGCTCCATGCTACGGACGGGGGATATATGTCTACTCTTTATGCCAAACGGAGATATACTTCTCCACGTTGCCGTGCTTTAGTATAAGAACAGGATAATTTTATCTCTTGTCAGTGGATATAATCGGGAGATACATTTTTTGCCCCCAGCCCATGCTAGCCGTGCTGGTATTGCTGTCTGTTTGTAAGGTTTCATTACAATCGGTTCAGACATTCCAAGGATTTTCCAGGACAAACAGACAGACACACAAAAAATCCTAAAATGGTAACTTATGTGTTAATATCGTGCAAATAACCCATGAGCTTAATAGAAGGCAGTCATTTCAATATTACAGATAGACACTTCAATTTTATTAATATGTATATATATTTAAATTTCAGCACTCATTTACCAATGGTCAAGAGTCTCAAGGAAACGTCGTTAATCGGCGTCTAACTTATGAAATAAATACAAAGATACCACGTCCGAATGGCGAAACCAACGTGCACAGAAACGATGAAGAATTAGAACAGCCACCACCACATATGGGTAACTCAGACCTATTTCCTTAAATTACAATTGAATTCTAAAGTCTGTTCAACGGGAGTTGAAAAAAACAGGGCTCCTAAACTTACTGTGAAATGCGGCCCGCTAATTATTTTTAATAAAAGTAAATAAATAAGCTTGGTGGTTAAAATATTAATTAAAAATTCCCAACTGCGTAACACAGTTTACTAAAAAGTTAATAATTATTTTTGAGATTATAAGATTTGAAAATTTAAGTGAGAATAATTGCTCACCAACTTTACATCGTTATAGATCCTAAATGGTTTTTAAAAATGAAAAATGATTAGACCAATTATTTAATTAGATGATTATCAAAAACGTATTCAATGATACCTCACGTGACATCATTCGTTGACTTTCATTTTTAGCTTTCTCACAATATAGTCTATGGTGTCACCACATTGATTACTGTCATGTCTTCAGTGATACTCGCAAGATTAAGACAAATCGATGGACGTAAGAATAATCAAAATCGGCCCACGCGCTTGGTCTCCAGATCACCACAAAAAACATTCATATACTGGTTGATAAACACATTACCCTCCCTGCGTCGCGCAGTATGGTAAAAAGCCGCTCGTCAGCTTGCCCGCCCGGCCTCGCGCTTGAGAACAGCTGCGAATCTCGTACCCCAAACTAATGCTTGCGGTGATGCGCGGCACATAAATTGCGATACTTAAGCGACAGTCGCGATTACGAGACATTTTTATAATATTTACGAGTATTAACTCTCGCCAAACAGACTTTAGGGAATCAATTAACTTATACAACTTAAATTATCTATTTAGTAAGCCGTGCGCTTGTACCTTGACTCCCTCTTGACACGATCCCTAGAAGACCTCTGCATCTTCAACTGTAACTATGTTTCTTGTGCCTGCACGGCTAGCATGGGCTGGGAACAAAAATTTTATCCCCCGATTATATCCACTGACAAGAGATAAAATTATCTTGTCCCTACGCCAAAGCCGGGCAACGGGGAGAAGTATATCCCCGTTTGACATAACGAGTAGACATATATCCCCCGTCCGTAGCATGGAACCAAATGAAAGATAAAAAAATATGCTTTTTTGACATTTGAAAGGGACAATTCTATCCTAATTCATTGGACGTAGGTTTAAGGTTATATTCATACAAAAAATCCAAGTCTAAGCCTATCTTCTATTTTATCTACTATGGATATTATATCCACCGGTGTGCCTATGCTCGAAGGGTGGATAAAACCAAGAGAGGGGATAAATATTAAAAATTTCCTCCTGCCCATGCTAGCCCTGCTGTGGGCAGTAAGGACTGCCTACAGCAGGTGCTTTAATAAAGCAAAGCGACAGAGGGGCACCGGTTGCATTCCGAACGGAGATACCGGGACCCTTCATATACGCTGATGGTAACCACCGTGGGGTTTTGGCTGGTAGGAGTCCGGCATAACCTTTCTGTTGCCACGTCTTCCCACGATAAAAAGGGCAGTACGCGCAAAATGACAATAGCCATTTATAACGCCAAATAAGATCCCCGCGGAACGAGTTGTCCCGAGACGTACACCCAAAGAGTACTCAATACGCTCTGACGACATTGACGTTTTAAGGTAATTTCTGCGCGTAGTATTAGAACGAAGTTCTTTATCGCACGGTACGGACTTGGCGGATGGGGGCTAGGCGAAAGAAAGTGTAAGATTTTTCCGTCACCACCGTTTCTATAGCGTAGACGGCCTTGGGGGCTATAAGGAAGTGAAATGAAATAATATCCACCTCCCTCGCACTTTTTCTTATCTTGCTATGAAATAAGTATTATTTTAAATGACGCTTCATTTTAATAGCTGCTAGTAATTAATTTATTTGTATTTGTTATCCAATAATATAATATGTTTATCAATAATAATATACTACGAAAGGAACTTAATTCCAACGGAGTGTTCCACGACACTCACGCTTATGACTTCTGCGGTAAAAAAACATGCGTGAGTGTCGTGATCGTATCGATCGTATCCATTGATAAGGGTGCTTTTAGACGAATGACACTCAGTTGACGACGTGACCAACGGCGTCGTAGCCGACACAATTAGGCATATTATATAGTCAAGAATACTGAACGAACTTTTAAAAGTAAGGTTGACCCGTCACGGTTCTGAACGACGTTAACGGAAGAGCTCTTGTCTCTGTAAATGTTCCCTCAGGCTTAAGAGCCTTGTGGAACATTAAGAGACGATGGCAGGTATGGTAGGGCCCGACTGTATGACTTTAGTCCCTTGGGAGAGAGGTAAAGCCTTTGTATGGGATGCTACAAGCGTAGACAGCGACTACCTATCATCCAAGGGGTAACTTTCTTAGAGACGGCGCGGCATCAGAGGCAGCAAAACTAAGTAAGTGTCGCAAGTAGAAGTATCTGAGATGACTACATATTTGTGCCATTTGCTGTAGAGACTATCGGTCCGCTACGCTGGATTAACATGCGGTGAAGTTCCCCAAGGACTCAAGGACTTGTCTCCTTTAGGAACAAGTCTCATTGACTCCGTAACTTGCCGTCGCTGCTGGATATAAGAGGGCTGTTTCTACTTTCAAAGGCTGAATAAAGCTATTCAGCGAGGAAATGCAGCCAACGTTTCTGGCACTGGATTAGGACTGTGTGATAATTTTAGTGTATAATTTTAGCTTATTTTATTACCACGTTGCGAGTACAAAGCAGGCGGGTTGGCAACCGCGGTTTTTTTTTATTATTTTCCAGTTGTTATGAAGACTATGTCGCCCATCTCCTGGTTTGTTTCCCTCTGTCTCTTGTTATAGCAGCCACGGGACGATATGGGGTTGGCGATATTCTTACACATTCGTCATCATTAAAGCCCTTCACAAGTCCACTGCTGAAAATAGGCCTCCCCCAAGAAATGCGACAAAGCACGGTCCTGAGCCACCTGCATCCATCGACTTCCTGCCTGCGTGTTTTACCAGGTCGTCACTCCATCTAGTGGGCAGACCACTCGTGAACCTTTTTTCCTTCGGCAAAAGAAAATCAACAAATACTTCTTCAAAATCAATCAAAAATATTATCTGTCTCTTAGCCTATATGCTAGCGAAAGATGTGCCAAAGACGCCTCTCAGCAACACTTGCTCTCTGCGATGACAAGTCAGGTCATCATCTATACAAGTAAATAAAATTGAAGTGTCTGTTTGTAATGTAAAATAACAGATTTTTACTAAATGCATATGAAATTATATACGGTACTTATAACAAAAACACAATTAATTTTTTCAAACAAAATTTTTGTCTGTGTGTCTGTTTGTTCCGGCTAATCTCCGAAACGGCTGTACCGATTTCGACGGGACTTTCACTGGCAAATAGCTGATATTATGAGTAGTAACTTAGGCTACTTATATTATAGAAAAAATAATTAGGGATCCGCGCAACATAATTAAAAACCTTAATTACATGCAGGCGAAGTCGCGGCGAACAGCTAGTAGACTAGTAAATTTTATAGATTATAATTTAATTTTTTTTAGATACTTTATAATTTAAAATTATAATTTTGTACAGCCAACTTCAATATAAATTATTAAGAATAACTCAAAAACTATTGTTCAGACCTTAATCAAATTTATATGGGACCACATGTGAAATACCAGCTTTCAAATAAAAAAAGAATCATCCAAGTCGGTTCACCCAGTAAAAAGTTATGAGGTAACACACATAAAAAAAACATATAGTCGAATTGAGTACCGTCTCCTTATTGGAAGTCGGCAGAAAATTACAGGTTATTGTTCAAATGTAGATAGCCTCAAAGCGTTCTAAGTTGCGGAATGATAAAAGAACAAACAGGAATTGGTCTCAATGAAAATCAGAGCCCGAGCTAAGGCTAAAGTTTTAATTAATTATTTTCTTTTTATACTTACAGAAAAAGAAATGGTGGAATCTAAAAGGACAAGAACCAGAATACCGACCGCAAGGTTCAGGCAGGCGATTGATAAAATTAAAAAAGAAAGAAGAGAGAGAATGGCCACCGACAAAGAACAAGATGTAAGTATTAAATGAACGGTGCATGCTCCGACTACAAGCCTATTAACGCTGGTGTTCCACAAGGCTGTGTGCTATCACCAACGCTGTTTCTTCTGCATATCAATGATATGTTGCTAACTGGTAACATTCATTGCTATGCAGGTGACAGCACTGGTGATACTTTATACACCGGCCGTGCCAATATTTCTCGGGAAAACGTCGCCGAGTACCGGAACAAACTTGTGTCTGAAGTCGACTCTTTGCTGGACAAAGTCTCGGATTGGGGGCGACTAAATCTAGTCCAGTTTAATCCTCAGAAGACACAAGTTTGCGCGTTTACCGCTAAAAAGAACCCCTTTGTCGTATCTCCTCAGTCTCTTCAGGCACTCCCCTTCTTGCCTCAGCCAGTATCGGAATCCTCGGAGTCGACATATTGAGTGACGTGCAGTTTCGTGGTCACTTGGAAGAGAAGGCCAAATTGGCCTCTAAAAAACTTGGCATGCTCAGCAGAGCGGGACAGTATTTCATGCCGGCACACCGCCTGCAACTTTACAAGGCGCAGGTTCGGCCTCAAATGGAATACTGTTCCCATCTCTGGGCAGGGGCTCCCCAGTGACAGCTCCTTCCACTTGACCGCATCCAGCGCAGAGCGGCTGGAATCGTCGAAGACCGAGTCCTTTCCAATCGGCTCGATTCATTGGCACTGCGAAGAGATGCTGCATCCCTTTGCATTTTCTTTCGCATTTACCACGGGGAGTGCTCTGAGGAATTGTTCGGATTAATCCCAGCCGCCAAATTTCACGAACGCACATCGCGGCAGAACTCCCCATACCATCCACACCATCTGGATGATTGGCGGTCCACCACTGTACGATTTAGATGTTTTCTTCCTCGCACGACTTCCTTGTGGAATCGATTACCATCAGTGATTTTTCCGGACCGATACGACTTAGGGACCTTCAAGAAAAGAGCCTACTCCTTTTTAAAAGGCCGGCAACGCATCTGCAATTCCCCTGGTGCCCCTGGTGTTGCAGTTGTTCATGGGCGGCGGTAGTCATTTACCATCAGGTGAGCCGCATGCTCGTTTGCCCCCTCTCCTATAAAAAAACCTGTATTTTCTATTAAGCTCAGTAGGTTATTTGCAAACAACCATTTACAAATTCTTTGCCTGTCTATCAGTCTGTGTCTGTCTGTCTGAGCTAATCTTGGAATTGCTGTACCGATTGTGCTGTAACTTTACGAACAGACAAAGAGCAATGAAAGGAGGAATTCAGGCTGTATTTTATCCAACTGGGTATTATACACCGCCATCTATTGACACCTACGGGACGAAATACGATGCCAAAATAAACCACGAAAAGAACTTGTATAATTAAAATTAAATCATAGTTTTTATTTAAAAATGCGGTTGTACCCGCAGGCCAACACTGGAACATACCGCTTATTAATAGAATGAGGCGTTACTTTGCGGAAATTAAAATTAAAATTCGCGTAGGTACATCCGCTCGATAAATCCGTTTTATCGAGCGGATGTACGCGAAGTAATTTTTTACCAACTTTAATTACCGCTTATTTTCGAGCGTTAACCTCCACGCAATAAATTTTTTGAAAATCTTTGAAACGGCTTAAACGATTGACTTGAAAATCTAATCAGCTCGAAGTTGCAACGAACACTTTCGAATGCCGTGTCGCCCATCTCGATCGGTTGATTCGTTGAAGATGATTGATTAAAGATACCGTACGACAAAAATGTACGCCGTACGTCCAGCCGGATATAGTCGGTACGGCTTCTTAGGATCTCTTAAGTGGAAATATGATAAAAAGTCGCATTCTCAAAATCGGACCGAAATCTATTCTATAACTTTCTACTTTTGAAAATTATTAATTTCCAAAGCGAGTAGTTAACAAAATGCAAAATCAACAGTCTCCACAGCGCGCAAACACACTGGCCACACCTGCATACGTTTATACTTTATAAAGATTTTTTTTCTTTATCGTCCCATTACATTCTACACTTGAACACAGGCTTCTCTCGTGGTAGGGATTTGGCTTAATCTCGCTTGGCAGACGGTTCACCATCATCCACATCCTATCAATTCACACATCAGTTTTCAATCGTTACAATCGTGACAATTGTCCCATCTTTTGGAACGAAGTTCCTTATCGGACAGTACGAGTTTGGCGGGTCGGGGCTAGGCAAAAAATGTGTTGATGACTCCTTCTGACGTAGCGTATACGGCCTTGGCGGCTATAAGGAAGAAAAACGGAATAATATCCATCTCCCTCGCACGGGTGACAAACGAACAAGACAGCCGAGTCCATCTTACAGTAACTGAATACTGTGGCCCATAGACGTCTATATCTTTCGTTGCTTTGGAATCAAAATACAGATGCGTTGTCACCCCTGAGGATTGGGATGGAATGCCTCGTTTCCAGTTAAAAGGGTCTCCGATTCTCTACTCTCATCATACGAAACGCAACAGCATTGCACTTCTATTTTACGTTGGTATTCTGTGAAAGCGTGGTCATCGACGTCGAGCCGACGCTTTCGTGCTACAACCATATTATAGCAGCAGCATGACTCTACCACGTAAAAGTACCTTTGACGCTCTTCTCCGTCTCCAATCTAGATATATTACGTCTCAAGTTAATGAGATGGCTCTACCGCCATCTGTCGGAATGTACATACCACCTCGGACGATTAAAGTGGAATGCTTATCTAACCGGAACATTGCAGTGCATGATTTGCAGCAAAAATATATCAGAGGATGATACACATCAAGACATACTTAAAAATATTTTATAAGGTCGTGGTATCGAGAGGTGAACGAAAACAAGCGTATGGTTCGAAGTCAGAGGGTTTTATTACCAACTATTTAGCCCTCGTAACATCCTTGATATATAACATAGCAGCAGAAATGAATCGACTCGACCGAGGAAGAACCACGCTTGCACAGAATGGCAGCGTGAAATAACTGAAAAATGCTGCAGTGTTTCGTTTGCTGAATTTCGAAAACCGGGGACCCTTTTTACTGGTAAACAGGCATTCCACCTTATCCCTAAGGAGTCAGTTGCGTAGCATGGACTTATACCGTCCAAAGCCAAAAAGTTGCCCTCCACTCATTTGCTATAGTTTTGTGCATAATTTAAAAATTAATTAAACAATATATTGATATACTTGATAACAATATTACGAATACTACAGTGTTTGTAATATTGTAATCAAAACTGACGGCTCCATGGCGCAGTGGCTTAGCAATGAGTTGTTGCGCTGGGGCCGCGGGTTTGAATCCCGCACGGAACAAGTATCTGTACCTACACGATACAGTATAAAATCTTATAGTGGGGGTAACGTTTAATACAAAAGAAAAAAAGTGCAAGATAACGGCTTTTCAGATTTCTTGACATTTTATTATCATCATTCAAATTTCCCAAAATGCAGCCCCCAAAAATCCGCTCGGGGCCATTGCTCCCCTGAACCCTGCCTCGCTACGCTACGTACTGTAGGGTGTGACACATCAGCGTTTTGATTCTTAATCCATGATAAATGTAGATTTCTTTGGGCCATAGCATCCACTTACCATCAACTGTATAAAAATATAAATACATTGACCCACAAGCCTAAAGTCTAAGTAGGACTTCCTGTTATTGATTGTGATTCTGTTTACTCGTCATGCGTAACACCACAACGTCATACCAATACTTCTAATTTTTAAGCATGATCCTTTCCCAGATTTAACGATCCTTTTACGAACCAACACAGAATACAGTTGCGATCTGTCACTTTCAACTATTCCATTTTTTTTTTGAAAAATCCTCTCTTGAATAGAATCGTCCGCGTGTGATTGATTTCTCAGAAGAATGTTATTATTCATCCGGGTAATAAATATTTCCCATAGTCATAGATTTCTGACATTTTTATAGAAGACGTTGAGAAAAATGCGTTTTTCCCAGGTTATATTTATTTTTTATTCATTCTAGTAAATATTTTTAAGGACTTTTTATTTACTGTCATATTATTATTTTCAGATTCCTCATAGCTCAAATCAAAAATCATCAATTCCAAGACTAAAAGGCAGTAAATCCCCACCGCCTTTTTACAATAAAGAAATAAATGCAATTAAAAAAGAAGAATATATCGTTACTTCAAAGGCGGATGAAGAATTCGATAAGATCTTTCAAGAAATGGGACAAACAGACGATACACCGTCCCTAGAAACTATAAGTAATAAAATAGAAAATGTCAATGAACTTGAAAGTACCTTCGAAGAAATCATGCATGCATATGAAGGAAATAAAGAACAGCCCTTAAGTATAGATAAAATAAAACAATCGAAAATTCCGCTATTAAAACGAACAAGTATACACGAAATTGAAGTGCCTAACAACCGAGAAAGAGCTACACTCAAAAAGAGCATTTCTATTGATACACCTATAATTTCCACTACACATGAAGAAAATAACACACATGTGGGTGAAAAAACAATTGTTACGTCAGAAGAAATAAGAAGAACTAACACACAGACGAAAACAACTACTGAAAGGTTTGTATTACAAAATGTAAGCTCTTATACCAATAACTATATGATTACAAGAAATTACGATACCAATACAGATAATAATGTTAATAATGGCGTGGATACTTTAGCATTAGCAAGGACAACTGCGATTTTAAATGAAAGTGATTCACAATATCAAGGGTCAGCAAAAGATGAAACTAAAGAATCAGTTAAGGTCGCAATTCCTGTGTTTGATCTTTCCGTGCCTTTTGATAAAAATATTGGAAATAAAATAAATGAAGAGACAATAACCAGAGTGAACAAGAGTAAAGAAAACTTTGTACCCGAAACATCTTTGTCTGAAGTCCAAAAAGGACACACTATGTTAAGAACAAATGACATAGAAGAACCAGGGAAGACTTACGAAATTAAACCTGTAGAAACAATACTTACATCAAGCCATGTGCAAGTCAATATAAATGAAAAAGAAACGAAAATACATAACGAAAATATTGGAAGCTACAAAATTGAATCTGAAGTTATTCCTAAAATACATACAACATCGACTAACGAAGAATTAGGTTATGAAACACAAAAAGAAGTTAGTACAAAAACAAACGAAAAAAGAACAAAAACAAATTATATGACTAAAAATATAACCGAACAAAATTTAGAAAATTCAATGGAAGAAGATATACCAATTCTAAGGGGAAAAGTTAATAGAATCATTCGAAGGATGAGTTCCAACGGTGGCTCAAAACCACACGAAAAGGATAGCTCTGAAAGCTTACCAAATAAGAAAACTATTTTGTCTAAAATAGCAATGTTTGAGGTAATCTTATTTATGTCTCATTTGTAAAAAAAACGTCAAGTATGCACACGTTGTAATATCTTTGTTTATCACGGCTTGCTAACTTGTAACATTTTTTTCGTTTTCGACTCTGGCTATAAAATGCTTGTTTATAAAAAGTAACCTTAAAAATATAGTAATGGTAGTATAAAGTACTAGTAGTTACGTTAAAATAATATATGCTAAGAAATTTTCTGATATTTGTATTTTAAGTTTCTATAGTATTTTATAAAAACCTTATTCTCTTTCAGCACAATGAACCAAATGAGCCCTTTCCTATATCAAGAATTCCGAAACTGGAACACAAAATTTCACTGGGACTGCGAACGCAACGACAAACAAGTCAGGAAGTTAGAAGGCCTATAATAGTTAGAGAAGTATTAAAAGATTCAAGTGAATCACGCTCCCCGAAAACTAATGAATATAGTACATTTAAATGCACTGAACAAGAAGAAAATAAAAATGTTAAATCTAGCGATACTTCTAGTCACAAGACACTGAACAACGATATATTAGAAAATGGGATTACAGCAATCGCTACGCTAGAAAGATATAATTACAAACCAGTAAAACGTGTTGTTAATGATATAGAAGATGCTGCAAAAGATAGTATCGCTATTCATGCATTCAAAAGCGAGGTCAATACAACTGAAGCGTCAATAGGAAATGAAACAGATAATTCTAGTTTGAATAATTCTAAGCAAACAATCATAAAAAATAACATTTTTGAGTTGAAAGACGATTCTCGATTTGATATCATACAAACGAACAACAATATCAAAAATGTTACTGAAATTTTAAACAGCGACGCATTAAATAATTTACATAATGATTTTAACTCTAGCCTTGAATTAGAAAGCACTAAAACTACTTATAAATATGAAACTTGTAACTTGAGTGAAAAATCTGACAAGAAAATAACAAAAGTAAATACAGATTATGTTTTTAATTTCACACCCGTGGGGAAGACTTTAGATGAAATATTGACTAGACACAATAATACTATTGTTAATATAGTAGAAGAAAAACGTAAAACTTTTGATGCGCTTGTAGATCTTAGCTCTGTAAATAAAGATCAGTCAGAGGAAAAAATTGCGACACAGCAATATAATGAAGTGATTACACAGAAAATAGAAGAAAGAAATAAAATGGAGCACAAAATCAAGGAATTTAGTAGCAGGGAAGAAGATGATATAAGGAGAACTACGTCAGTCGCAGAACTTGATTTTGGAAATGTAATCAAAGGGAAAGTCCATAAAATGATCATGAGAATAAAATCAATAGAGAGAGCAGAACATGGTAAAAGACAGATTATTATTAGTGAAACAGAACGACCGCGGAAGAGTTCAGTATCGGAGAAGATTGCTTTGTTTGAGGTAAGTTAATATAAACATACTACATCTTTAAGTAGAAAAGAAAGGTGAAAAGTAGCAGGTACTTTACAAAATTGAACCAGAACAGTTCTTTTAAATGGCGCATTTTAAGGTCAAAATGTAAACTTTTCATTAAATTTAGGCTTAATAAAAGCTACACTGCACGGTGAACACAGTTGACGTTCATTAACTTAACACTCGACAGCTGAGTGGCGCAGTAGCTTAACAATGAGTTGCTGCGCTTTAGGGTGTGGGTTTGAATACCGCATAGAACAGATATTTGTATGGCCTACAAATAATTGTTCCGGGTCTGGATGTTTGTCTTTGTTCAATTTATGTTTGTTAACTGCCTTCACGATACATGAGAAAATCCTAGTGTGTATGGGGGGGGGGGGGGGCAGTTTTATTATGAGGCGATCTATGGGTAGGCCCATGTTTAGCAATGTACTTTGACAGACTGATTTCTACGTTAAAAAATTTCATATAGCGTTATTTTTTTTTATAGGATAGGGTGACAAACGAGCACACAATCCACCTCATGGTAAGTGGTTGCTATGAACCATATACATCTACATCTATTCTCAATAAAGGATCAAAATGCAGATGAGTTGTGACCCTTGAGGACTAAGATGCAATGCCTCTTTCCCAGTAAAAAGGGTCTCCGATTATCTACACTCACCATACGAAACACAGCAGTGTTAAGCCGCTATTTTACGCTGGTGTTCTGTAAGAGCGTGGTCCTTCCTCATTCGAGCCGACCCATTCGTGCTACAACTATACTACTAATATAGCTGCAGAATGGCTCTACCACGTATAAATCTGCAATTCGTCCGACTCTAAAAGAGGAGGAGGAGGTTCTCAACTCGTCTGTATGTGTTTACGAATAGGTGGTTCTAAATAAATTTGATGCATAAATTTGATCTCTACGGTTGAAAAATTGGGGATGAAGGTTTTAATGTTTCGGCGACATTCTCATTGTTACCTTGAACTTGTGGCATTCCTTAGACAACACAACGAGGTTAAAAAATAAACTTTGAATATAAATGAAAAATGACTTTAATATTCAAAAAAACGTGTGTACTTGTATATTTTGTAGAGAACCGGAGACCCTTTTTACTGGACAAGAGGCATTCCATCTTAGCCCTCACGGGTGACAACGCATCTGCATTTTGATTCTTTATTGAGGTTAGATGTAGATATCTATGGGTCACAGCAACCACTTACCATCAGGTGGACTGTGTGCTCGTTTGTCACCCTGTCCAAAAAAAAATACTTATGTAGGCAGTTACTTCTTTAGCGTAACAAAAGAAAAATAACCTTAAATATAGTTATCAGTTCCCACGAAATCTTAAGAGACAGTTACCCAATGAAGTTGTCGCTATGAGGTGTCGGTGTGCGCGCGCATCGTGACAACTTCATGGTGTCGTTTTTAACTGTCGGTGTGCGCGCGCATCGCTAAATAATTCACTCTCCATGATTTTTCCCAATCGCCCCAAAGGAAGTATACCTTAAAAAATAATTTAATAATTTCCACTATTTACTTTTGGGCTTCACTCGTAATACTTCGACACACTATGTCTTAGCGTCTATACTTTTAAATAATAAAATAAAATAAAACTAAAAATAAAATATAATTGTTTATTTCTTTAACTTAGTTCTCGCATTACAAGCATTTTGTGGCCAGAGTCGCCCAGGAAGCATGTAGTAATGCTTGTGTTGGGTGACTCTGGTCTTCCATTGGACCGAGTGTATAATATTTCCTTTAGAAACGATTATGTGGAAATTGATCAATATTTTTGTAGTTTTTGTAGTCGGTTTTTACCTTTAATTACAAGTTTTTTTTTTAACAATGAAACCACGAAGTAACGTAGTGACGATGTAAGAATATCTACTACCCCATGTCGAATCGTAAGAGGCGACAGAGGGAAACAAATCAGGAAATTGGCAACAGTGTCTACCTAATAACGATTAAAAATAAAAAACTGCGGTTGCCGGCACCTATGGTAAATATGCATGATTATGGCATATGCGTATGGCAATCTATGGGGTAGGCCTACGTTCAGCTGTGGACTTTAATAGGTGGCAACGGTGACGGTAACGGAAACACGAAGCGTTCAATTACAATATACCATTAAATAGAACTAGTTCTTACGGATTCTATCGCGTATATTAACTTATATTATATTCCCGACGTTTGAAGCACTTTACCAGCATTTTTTTTCAATTATTACTAAAAATTAATAATTTTAATCTGGAGGCAGCCGCGGTTAACTATGACATTGGGACGTCGTACACCTCAGTCCCCCCGTGACCATGAGTGCTGTAAAGTGCTCGAAACGTCGGGAATATAAAAATAAGTTAACATATTATTTTACGGATTCTATCCGTAAAAACTAATTTTATTTAAATGTGTAGTGTTCGCGTGAATATAAGAAAACAATATACCCGCTGATAACTGTATTATGTGCTACTTAAAATATCCGATACACCGCGCTACCAGTCTTTTGTATGCCGTAAGCGCAACGTGTGTAGGTATGTTCTTCTAGCCTAAAAATTAGTGACCGACCGAAGATTCGGTTTCGGTTTCGGCAAAGTTTCGGCAAAAAATCTAGTTTCGGTAATAGTTTCGGTTTCGGCAAAAAATCTGCCGAAACTCGGTGTTCGTGAATTATCGTGCGTCGTTCGGATGAGTTCGTGATTCGTATATTATTCATATAATTATGAATAATATACGAATAACTAACTCATCCGAACAGAAACAGAAACATCTTTTTTATTCAATATAGATTGTAAATAATACTTATTGAAACTCACTCTTTTGTTTAATTACCACTGGTTCGAAAAAAAACCTCTGTCCTTGGAAGAACCAGCAAGAAACCCAACGGGAATTTCTTTTTAAATAACAGCTTACATTCAGAGGCGTAGCCTGGACTAATGTAAACGTGCGCGAAGTTGCATCAGCGAGGCTAAGATGTTTTTGAAAGTACGTCTTTGCAGCGAGGTCCCTTTTCTTTCGTTCCATGGGTCTACCGAATAGATCTATCCTACCTAACATGCATTGACACGACATACGAGGCCGACACTGAAAGTTTTTAGAACTGGCCACTTGTAAACGATATAATAAAAAAAATAAGTTCAAATTTTGAAAATGGAACTCTTTGCCAATATTATTGTGTAGGTATGAATTTTATTAATTTGTCATTTGTTTACGATTTGGCGGCAAATTGAAAATTGTCTGTGTCACATGAGCATGAATTTAACGCGAGAAAATTTACGTACACTGATTTTTTTATGAATTCCGATGTTATTTAAGTCAACAAGAAAGATATGATAGACTTCGATTGGCCTTTCACGATGCAGCCCCATCTCGTGTCACTGTTTATAACTGGTTTAAAGAGTTTAAACGTGGTCGCACTAATCTCACCGATGATCTGCGTGGGGGACGGCCATTGACTTAGTCTTGTATAACTTAATGGGGACGGTCTTCTACGTAGACGACTGAAGATAACATCAGTGTTGTGCAGCATGTGATAGAGACTGACAAAAAAGTGACTTATCAGCAGATTCGGACAAGATAAGGCATCGGTATGAGTCAAGTGCACAAAATCCTCCATGAATATTTAGCAGTTAGGAAGCTTTGTGCCCGGTGGATACCTCATAATTTGACGGAAGCCCAAAAACTCCATCTTGTTGATGGGTTCGATATACTTACAGCTGACGAAAGCTGGATTTATTGGTTTGATCCTGAAACTAAGAGACAGTCTGCTTTCTGGGTGTTTCCTTCCGAGGAGTTGCCAACCAAAGTGAAGAAAAGTCGAAGCGTGGGGAAAAAAGATGGTGGCCTCGTTCTTCGGAAGGACAGGTCATTACGCAACAATTGTTTTAGCGGATTGAAAAACAGTTACTGCAGAGTGCTACACTAACAATTGTTTGCTATTCGTCTTGGAAAAAGTTCGGGAGAAACGAGCTCCCAGTGGAATCCTTCTTCACCACGACAACGCCTGGTCGCACACCGCCAAGCAAACAATCAACTACTTGGCGACGTCAGACGTGGATTACTGGGTCACCTGCCCCTATACCTCGCACTTTGCGATTTTTATTTATTTCCAAAAATAAAAGAAAAACTTCTTCAAAAAGATGTATATCAACACTATTTTGAAAAGACATAATAATAACTTGCTAGTTTGTTCAGTTTTTGATTTTTTAAGAACTTTTAGTGTTACCCTCGTACCTACTCATATCTGTAACGCCAAGTCGAACAAAAAAGCGGCACGGCCGCACCATTCTTTTCTCGAAGCAGTTCAGGCCATTTTCGAAACCCTATAACTTCGTTGTGGCTGGAACTAGAAGCCTGAATTTTTTGAGTAGGCATTGTATAAACTCGGTATATTTCAAACTTCATTAAATTTGAACCAGTAGTTTAAGAATTATAACGAGTCAAAGTTTCTTAATTTTGTCACTCACTGACTAAGGCACTTCTAGCATACATAGAAGCTTCAAATTTGGAATACAATTATTGTTTAATATATAAATTAAGGAAAAACCTAAATATTTTGCAATTTCAGTCAAGTTTTTGAGATACACTAACTGCATAAATAACTTTGTAATCCCATATAAATATATAGGATTACAAAGTTATATTTGCAGTGAATGAATCAGTGTATCTATATATGTATAATATAATGGAATAATAGGTGTAAATAGGTACCTAGATATAACTATCTACAAAAATAAATGAGATGCCATCAAAAACATAACTTGTAAAAAAAGCCAAGTCTCACAATTCAGTTCTTCTACCGTAAAAAGTTGGGAGATCCATGTAATACCAAGTCAGTTAATTTATTCAGTCCCTACTTAAGGGTCCTTCTGTCTTAAGTTATTATGTAATTAGCTAACCTAACAAAATCTTATAGTGACCATATCAATATTAAAAATCTTTTATCTTTTAAATACATAGATTGACTTGGCAATCGCACTAAACAATCTAATTTAATATAATATGT